CACAGTGCTACCACTTTATCTTGAAGTGTCATCAGCAACTGTGTGATGGGAATAGCTTCAAATTGATTAGAATTTAATTTCCAGAACAAATGGACTGGATTTTGATCTCTGTGCAGTCATTTTGCCTGTTGTCATAGGATAAAATGGCCCCAGCAAAAAGCTCTTGTACTTATTGAATTTCTTGCCAGAGCCGAGATTTTTAGGGGAATAAAATGAAAATTGCAGCTTGATAAATGGCATAAAAGGGTTTTTTTTGTGACATGGTATCTTTTCATGTCAAATGGCAAGTACAACATATTCCAAACTAGACAGACTCATTAATGCTGACACCTTTTACAGCCCCAAATGTTTTTCACTGTTGATAGTGACTCAGTATTGGAAATTATATCTTCTGAGACAGGAATTACCAGAACAAACTGTACTTGGATCATACTTCATAATTCTGATATTTTTCCCTTTTTACAGCTTTTCTCACCCTTTATGTGGATCCCTCTGCAGTGACAATGATTCTTTTGTCACAACGACATTGGTTTTCATTGTAATATTGCATTTTGGCATAAATTTTAAATAGAGAATAATTTGATGTTTTTAAAATATCCTTGATGGTTGAAATTGCCTGTCAATGGTAATCCTCCAAGCTTGTTCCCCCATTTTTATTAGGACTAACACTGGGTTTTGTTTGCCATGCATGGTGAAGTAATAAATCTGTATACTGGACCAAAATTAGAATTAGAGGAATGGTAAAGGAAGGTACAAATGGAAGATCCTGGTTCTTAAAAAAAACTCATAAAAATCTCCCCAGGTTTCTGTGAAGCAAATTAATAAAAACACATGCCTACCACCATTATTATTTTATAACCTAAAAATGCATTTTACAGGGCAACGGTATGTATGGGTTTAATAATTACAAAAATAAACCCTTTTGCTTCTTTCTTAAAGGGAGCAGTGTGGTTTGTTTCCTTTTAGAATGGGTGGAAATATTAATTAACTCACACTTTGCTATTCTCTGTATAAGGAGGGTTTTATGCATAGGAATTGTCTGATGAACTTTAATTTCCAAAGGGCTGTTTCTAACCAAAGTGTTTACAGAGCAAAAGTGTTCACAAAGTGTTACAAAACATTGCAGTCTGTGCTACAAAATTGTCTGGTTTTATTGTACAAGAAAATTGTATCTCATGTTTTATTTTTGTAATGCATTTTAATATAACTTTGTGTTACTACTAATTTTTTTTTAAAATTGTGTATTTAAAATTAACTGAGGGATTGATCTTTTGTTGGCAGACTGTATGAACAAAAGAGAAATGACAAAAGGAATTACAAGCCACTAGAGATCTCTTAAATTCTTCAATTATATAAAAGCGAGGGAAATTCATATGCAAATTGAATTTGCTGGCGTTAAAAAGGGAGGTGGGTACAATGTAATTGCAGAGAAGCTGCACAGTGGCAGCAGGATAATGACAGAGACATATAAATGCTTTATAATGCTATATAAATATTAAGCCAGTACAACTGAGGAAAGAGCTTGGAGTGCAGCCCCTTGGGCACAGTGATACCTCACAGAGTTGGAGTGCAGCCCCTTGGGCAGATGTCAGCTCATAACAATGTTCTTGAAAGACATTTTGTGCCTTGGTGTAGGAACTTGTTTATTCACGTGTTTGTATTAACTCCCACCAAAGCCATCAATCTGAGCCCATAGATAACGTTTATATGATGCCCCTTTAGGTTTCAATGAGAGCACAGACTCCAGAAATCCAATTAGAGGGACATGGCCTTGCATTAAGAACAATGTTCTTGATTTCCACAATTTCCACTGAGCTTCTCTTCAAGGACTGAAAGCAGTTCGGATGGATCTGCACATACAGACCCACACAGAGTCCCAGAATTAAATACATATCTAGAATGCTGCAGTTTGGAACTATTTAGGGCTCGTTTCTTTTTCAAAATCCTATCAGCATGCAACAGACAGAGAACTGTTGCTATCTAAAATTTCCATACCATTGGCATTTTTAAATCGGAGGCACCTCAGTTATCTGAGAGATGCAGGAAGTCAGTGACTGGGTAATTAGGGCTACAGAGGTTTGATTTATGAAGAAACATTAAAGAGAAGAGCATAAATATGGTGTCTCAGTCAAGGAGATATGAAGCATGGATTTTCAAGTAGCTTAAAACCAAACTACAGGATGTGTCTTGTCACATGGAAGGTGTTTCAAGGGACTGGAGGAATGGGCTCACAGCTGCACAACACATTCTGAAGCTTTGTGAAGATTGTCAGTGTTGGTTCTAAGGGAAAGGACAGAATTCCCATGAGTCTAGATGCTCAGTTATGGACCAGAGGAGTAATCCTCACTGGCACAGCTGCTGGACTTCCACCACGAAAGAATTCCCTCTTGCCTGTACTCCAGTGGACACTGACCCCACCTGACAGGGACACAAAGCTGGTGTTTTATTCCCAGGCAGCAGAATTATTTAGGTTTCTCGTTCCCTTGGCACTTAAACATCCTGGGCATTTTCAGGGGAATGTCTTTGCTCAATCCAGGCACAGCTATCCTTAACTGAAAAACAGGAGAACTTTAGAGTGGCTAACACGTGGGAGAAGGAAGGGGAAAAATCAGGACAGACATCATAATTTACTTATTTAGGCAGATATCATTGTTAGGAAAACATTAATCTGCTTAAATTTCAACACCTAAACAATCCATCTTGCATAATTATGGCAGGAGAGCACGCTGCAAACATTGCTGCCCAGTTAAATTGGTGCTGTCAGACAGACCCCATTGCTGGTGCCTCTGCAGTGCCAAGTTCTGCAGACAGCCCCTCTGCAGCACTAAAGGGATATTATCTTCAAAGAAAAGGCATCTTTTTGCGTCCTCATCTTTTCTTCATTGTACCTCTACTAAGAAAATTGTTTTAAGACAAAAATGTCAAAATCTTTTTAAATACTGTGGTACCACCTTGTGGCAGCTTTACAGATAGCTCTGTTGGCATTAAGACTGAATGACTTTTTGAAATTAAATTAGAACAGTTAGCATTTGGTCTCATTAGAGTTTTGAGCTGTGTTCTAAACCATCTGCCTCCTTCTATTAATTAGAACACCTGACATTTGAAGAAAAAATTAAATGTATTCCAGTGAACACTGGAAATCAATTTTCCAACACTATGTAAAAACATTTATAGAGACACAGAAGCTGCTTTCTGAGGCACCACGGTGGGAGAAGACTCCAGGCTTGTCTGTCAGGTGGGACTGGCAGCTCAGGAAGCTGCTGAGAGACTGCAGGTATCAGCAAGACAAGAGGCAACCAACAGAGGAGCCCACGCTGCCCCTGCAGTCTCACAGATTTGCGAGGAGAATGAAGCCAGTATGAGGCACAGAGGGAGGACACAAACAAGACAGCAGCTTCTGCTCTCATGATGAAAATTAGAGGATGGCATGGAAAGCTCTGGAAGGTGAACAGACGTGTAACGGAGCTTCCATGGTAAATATGATCTTTTGGAAAGCAAAACACAGAAATCCAGATACTGCTAAGCTAACTGGAGGCACCAGACTGAAAAAGCATTTGTTTTAGCTGGCCTGGCTGAGCCAGCAGCTAATTAGCTTATCTGTACTCTCCTGCTTTTGCATCCTTTTAGAGACTCCAAAGTGTGACAAACAATAGTTTCCAGGACCTTTTGGGTTGCCCCTCCCACAGCCATCTTTAGCCTTCTTTTACACAGCATTGCAGGAAATGAGATTTCTTCCCTTAAACAAGATGAACCATCTGTTTACACTTTGTGCTTTGGTTGAAGGCTGTCTCAGGGTATTGAAGCTTAGGGACAAATTCATCTCTTACAGCTTTGACTGATTTGAAAACACAGAGCAGGAAGGAGAACTTCTTGTGCTTGAAGACAGGAATTCACAGGAAAGTGAATTAACAGGAAAGTTGTTTATTATGTGTACAGGGAAGCTCTGTGTCTTTTCAAATTAATGCTTCAAATATGAAGCAGATTGCCACATCCCAGCTTAAACTCAGGTGCGCTTCTGTTTCATTCACACCAGTAAGCACAAGTTTAATGTAAAAAACTCCTAAAACTGGCACAGAAACCAGGCATGAATGACCAAATTTGAAGCAAATTTGTGAGAGCTGGTTCTCCAGCATCCTGCTTTTCCATTCCCAGCTGAAGTCCCAAGGGAGAAGCACTGGGATTGTGCAATGCAGCTATTGATTAAGGTTAGCGATGAAATATGAAAATTTCATATATATATGCTGTACCAAAATTTCATATATATATGCTGTACCAAACCCTCAACCAAATGGTTGAGGGTTTGGTACAGCATGAGACTAAAATACAAAGTAAGAGAAGAAGTGAACAAAAGCTCTTACATCCTCTCAAGAGCATTCTCCGTGTAGGTACCTTCCTGTCACACTTTCTAATCTCTCCAACCTGTGCCTGTGTTACCTCTCTGATTTAAAGAGATCACAAAAGAGTGCCAAGGTGGCCACTAGAGGAGTAAACCTTCTTTCTCCTGAAGCACCCAGATGGATGCTGGCTCCTGCCAGACTAATCAGATGTGTGCTTTTGGACTATTTCTCTCACTTTTAGAAGCTGCCCTTTGAAGGCTCACACCACTGTGTTCCCAGTGTCCCAGGCTGTTACAGCAGTAAAACATTTTTCCGCTAAGGAGGCACTCACGTACCTGGGACTCGTGGTTTTCAAACTCTCCTGCGTACTCTATAAGGCAATGTTGATTGTGACCTGTCAAATAATCTCCCAAAATATCCATCATTTATGGGAGCTATAAGCCTGTGCCTTGATGCTGCATTAAATAACTCGTAACTCATGGCAAGAGAGGCAGCAGAAAGGGAAGATGTATTGAGCTAATTAAAGGAAGGTTTCTTAAACAGTTTCTTTAACCTCTACACACTAAGCACCCATTTATCACTCTGTGCTTGCAGCAGACCACGTCACACGTCCTCTCCTCAGGAAAGAAGGCCAATTCAGAAAGTGTTTAAACATGTGCTCACCTCCCAGCTGCTGAGCAGAAAGTCCTCACTGAAAAAGCCTGAGGAAGAGAGAGAGAACATTTTGAGAAAACACTGCATTTTTGGGTTGGTTTTTTCCCATGCTACAGACTGGGCTGAAAACTGTCTCAGTAGGTTGGATAAGGAAGCTGTAAAACACTATGCACAAACCGTCTGCAAAGTGGGCGGTAGAAAGGTGGCAGGGACGCAGAGATATTTCATCAGATAGTGCTGTAATAGAGAATATTTTTGGCTCTCAACTTACTTGTACCTCATTTGCCAGCAAGAGCCTGATAAGTTCAGATCCTGGAATACAAATGAACAATCTGAAAAAATTTCTGTTCCTGAATGTCAAGGCCAGGATTTTTCAACAAAAGCTTTTTGATGGGAAAACGATGAGTGAAATCTCAGATGTCCTAAAAAAAAAAAAGAAATGTAAAAATGTATGTTACAAAAGGACTATCCTGAGATTTTTTCAGGTTAAGGTTTTAGAGGAAAGAGCAAGAATAAAAATAATTTTCAACAGAGCCCAGGACAGCTATCTCAAGTCTCCCTCACTCCAGCTGCTGCTTATCTTGTGACTAACGGGTACCTGTCTGCGTGGTGTGGGCTCCTCTGTGAACACACTTTCATTTCTGGCTTGGGTTTTTCTTTTTACACCAAACCCTTTGTCCCCCAACTTCCCATTGCCCCCTTCTTGCCTTTTTCCTTGATTTGGAGCACTTTGGTTTTTGAGGTCCTGGTGATGCGATCCCACGCCTGACTCTGCCCACAGAGGCTGAATGTTACTCAGCCTGGGGGTGGACTTGTGACCTCATGTGCTTTTTTTGGTTTGTCTGCCTTGGGGGAGGGTGATGGAGATAGCACTCTGGCCCACACTTGAGCCTCTCCATCTATATATAGATGTATACTTGTGATATTTCCACAACTGTAGGGTTTAAGGGCCATGGCACAAAACCAGAAAGAAGGTGGTGACTTGCATGGAAAGTTTCTGCCAACGTGCCCAGCTATTCTGCAGGCCTGAGTCACCCTGGAGTGTTCTCCTCCTCACCACTCCTCCCTGCCCATCCTGGCCCAGGCAGGGGCACAATCCGCTTTGCTGCTCAAAGACATCTCCTTCCCAGTCTAGGAGAAAATTTCTAAATACAGCATTTGCAACACCCTTTTTAACAAGCGGATGTGAGAACCTAGAGGCCAGGGCAGCCTCTTTTCTCTGTGGAAATTGGTGCCTTCTATTCTTAGCATCACAAAGTCTCACCCTGCTTCCACCCACCACCTCACCCTTACATGAGGTTCCATTCCTTTCACCCACAGCCCTTCTCCTTCGCACCTTCCCTCTCTGCTGCCTGCAGACCTCTGGCAAGGCAAAGGCAGCAGGGGAGTCAGAGACACACCGGGGCCTCATTGACCTAAGTCATTCAAGCACAGGCACAAAAATAAAACAAATTTGCCAAGGTTTAAAGGGACACAACAAACAGTGGGCTCAGACAAGCCTAAAGGTTTTTTCAAAAACTTAAAGGTTTGTTTTAGTTGCCAGCAGAGGACAGCAAGGCTTTATCCATGCAGAGAGACTGATTTGCTTCTCTGCTCTGGGAGAAGTGACTGGTCAGTGTTCAGATATACCCTTAGGCAAAGGCTTCCAAAGAGAACGAGTCAAGAGTGTACACAAAAGTGCTCCAGAAGCAAAAACCTCCTGAGAAATGATGGAGCCATCCACTTGGCACAGCTATTACATCATCTGGATACTGAAAGCCTCAGTTCTTAATCCTGTTTGCCTTCAGTGCCAGGCTCAAATTCAGCCAGAACTGTGGGATAACAACAATAAACACCTGGAGGACAGATCACGAGGCCCAATCTTGGATTAGAAACACAACAACCTATTTTACATCACCAAAAGTATCGAGGAGGAGAATTATTTTTTATTTACTAAAGCTAATTTAGTGCTATTTTACACTCTGAATGGGTTCCTACTTGCCCTTAGTTGCTATTTCAGAAGGGCAGAAACTGCAAGTTCAATATCACAGCTGACAACCCTGTACCTTCAAAATTTTAGGGCAGTGACAGTATGAACTTATTTAGGCAGCTGCCTCACACTTTCTGGCCCTTGAAATGAGGAAGAACTTTTGAAATGCATGCAGTAATTTTTGATCATAGCTCTTCTTTTCCATGACTTCATATTCCACAAGACTTAGTGACACTTTATCACCAAGGAATGACAACATTTACATAGTCCCCCATCACAAATTAACAAAAAAAACCCTCTACTGTGTCTTTAAAAATCAGGACAAGAGATTTCTTCTTTAAAAGACATGGGGAGATCAAGGGCTCTTCTTTTCAACCTTGGCAAATAAGGAGCATCCTTTTTGAAACACTTTCAATAAGACATTTTAACTTTGTTAAAAATATTTTCCAAAATCATGAACTACTCTGTAAAAATCTCAAAATATGGAAAAATGAATGAGAACATCCCCAAATGCAATACAGCATATGTATGTGCACTCCAAATGTGATTATGGAGTTCATTTTTGTACTTTGATTATTCATGCAGAGAAGCATTCACATCCTTGCATATCAAGTGGGACATAAATACCATCCTTAGTTTTGATCTCCATGTGTTAAAACCATCACTTCCAAATTTAAAAGGCTTACAAAAAGAACCAGAATTGGGGCCCAGTAATCTCCTTACCAATAAAGAAACAAAGAAATGAAATCAATTTAATTTGTTATGGAACAGATCAACGAATGATGTCATCATAGCCTATAATAGAAATACAAAAAGCAGGACCAGTTCAAACTAGAATGAGACACTGTTTAATGACAAGACCATGTTAAGACACAGTAGGCTGGTACTAAGCTTTAAATCCAAATTGGATAGCATTCTAAAGAATATTTTACTTGCACACAGTTGAAAAGCTTTTATTTTGCAGCATGTCAAACTAGGTCATCTAGGTCTTTTAGGGGTTTAAAAACCTTTGAATCTGCTATATGGATTTATTTTGTAGGTATTTTTTAGCCCTTTAATCTTCTCAACACTTCTGTTGAGAATCTGACATCTAGTCTCACTATACTATAAATGCCATGGATCTCAGAGCTCCTCACATGGACTTCAGCACCAGCAGGAGCAGTTGCTAGTTTATTGCTATTCACAAAGTACATTAAGTTGCAGCATTGTGCCTATCATCTGTTTTCCCCTGAGTACCTCTTTCTTCATGCAAGCTGAATGTACCAAAATTAATCAAATAATGCTCAAAAAGAGAGAACACAGAACACCCTGGCTGTTGGACATTCATTCTATGATATGTACTGGTTGCTATTAACAGCCAGAAACAGTCTTAAGCTTCTGGCAGCTGTGTTGTTTCATTGTCAGCAGGATTTGTAGGAACATGAAAATCATGCCAATGATTCATAGCCTTGCTTAGGGAGCATTTCTTGGGAGCATTTTTGCAGCTCCCAGTGAAGTCAGTTGAAGGTCTGAGGGCTGAACTACTACAGACACCGAACCAGGGGATTTTATTTCTTAGAGACTTCATCTTGTCTTGCCCTTATTATCAGGAGTGTGAAATTAAAGTACAGCATTAATATAAAAGTCCAGAAAGATGACCAGGTTATGATGCATTTAAAATGGAAGGGAACACATATGGATGCATATAAATTTTACAAGTTAATTTACAATTGGAGTCATGGCTCTCCGAACCAGGACAGTCTGTCCCCGTTGTGTCTAATTTCAAAACTCCAAGTCGTAAATATCAAAAATGACTAGAATTTCCTTTAAAATTTTACGTAGTCTTGTCCAAGGCAAAATTTAATAAATCTGATTGTGTCTACACATATTTATAAGACTAAAACCTGTGTCAGTTTAGTGTGCTGAGCACCTTTTCTCTTTTCTCAGCCACTGGTATTACCAGAGGCAGGTGTTTCACAGGTACTTCTGCAAGTCTGCCCATAGCAAATGCTTTTTTCCCTTCCCTGGGGTTTGGTGCATAGTGAACATTACAGAAAGGGGAAGCAGAGAAATTCCAAGGCCTCTGTGACTTGGTGAATATGTATTTTTTAAACCTTTCCATACTTCTGTGGGGAGGGAGATGCAAGAAACTTAGGAGGGAGGCATTAGCTTTCAAAGTCCAAGAACTGATACTGCAGTGTTTTGGTCTAATTATCTTTTTCTTGGAATTACTGATTTGCGTGAACACTCAAAAGGTATTGACCAGTCTAAAATATTTCCTTTTATAGTCTTATATAAATATTCTCCAAAAGATGTCACTTTTCCCAGAAAAAAGTGTAGGTGGAAGTAGATAGGGCTCTGTAGCTGGAAGCCTTTTTGGGGCAGTGGCAAATATTTGCTTCATTTTTTGATAGGAGTAAAATCCCCTTAATCCTTTGTCTACAGATTTTCTTTGTTTTTTCATTAACTATTTTTATTAAAATGGTTCACTTTCCAAAACATTTGTTCCCACAATGAGTGGTCTTAGGGGGACTTCACGATTTTTTCTGGCAAATGTCAGGTAAAAAAACCAAACCAAATAAACCTAACCCTCCTCACCCTCTCCACAGTCCAAACAGACACAACTCACATCACACTGCACAACTAAATGTCACATACACTGGAATCAAAGAAGTTTAAATTATAAATTGATCAGTCCTGCTTTGTTTGATAAATTGTCTTTTGTGTTCATGAATCACAATTACATGATTGAGCTTGGGCTCATAGTCATAATACCATAACTGATGCATTTTAAAGAAACATCATTTAAATACAATAAAGATCTTTCCTTCAGTGTCAGGCTTAACATCTACTTCATCCTCAGATTCAAACACTAGCATAAGTGAGGTAGAAATTTAGTAGACCAGATCTTTAAGATATCGTAGAACCTTTTTTTCTCAGGATTAACTGCTGTAATATTTATTGAAGTCAGTCATTAAAAATTGAATTACACATACTGAAAATACACACTCTTATTGGTTTAGTATCTAGCATGAATAAATAGTTTATTAATAGTCCACCACACTATTAATAAACCTAAGAATTTTTTTCCCCCTTTGG